GCGATGACGGTAGCATGCCAGCTGTCTAAGAGTTGACCTAATATACGAAGGCAGATGATCAGAATGCGAAGGAACATACCGAATTCAACAAAAATTCGATGTAAAGATGCTACAAACAATGGGTGCATGCTACACCACTGATGACATTAACTTACATGGTGAACGCTACACTCCCAGCTGCCATATGCAAGCGGCAGTACATCGCCCGCACAGCAGCAGCATGTGCTCACCTGCAGTCTTCAGCATCCTTGGCCAGTACCTCCCTCTGCTTCCTCTTCCATACAATTTGAACTCTGTCAGCACCACCAGTAGCCCACCCTCCCTTAGTACCTTCCCTTTCCTCTGCCTCTCCTCTCACCTTGCTATCATGCCCCTCTCCTGTCCCTCCCCCTGTTCCCCTCACGTGTCACTCCTCCCTTTCCCCCTTTTGGTGCTTCTCCTACTCCTCCTCCACTTCCTCCAGCCTCGCCACTTTGTTCTCCTGCTGCAGAAGCTGTACCTCCTCATCCACCAATCGCAGGCCAGTGTCGATTGCTGACGCGGTCCTAACGACCTCCCTCACTACTGCCAACTCCACTGTCAACTTCCCTCCACCCCCTGTTCCCTCCTCTCCTCCCTGCCCAACGGACCGTTTCCCGCTACCCACTGCTCCCTCCTCTCCTCCTTGCCCAATACCCCAATCCCCTTCCCTACCTCCCTCTTCCACGCTGCTTCCCTTTCTGACTGCACTGACCAAACCGCAGCTTCCCCCTTTACCCACTGAACTGCCTGAACGGCTACTTCCGCCTTTCTCCACACCCTTCTCTCCTCCCTCGGGCCTGGATGAACCGCCCCAACGGCCGTTGTCGCACGGACCATTTGGGAGTTGAGATGGGAAGGGAAAGGGGAGGCTGCGTGAGTGGTGGCGGTGAGGGTTGAGGTTGCGCGTGAAACTTCAGGGCATCTCTAGCCTAGAGTTGAACTACCTGAGGTAGGATCAATAGCTCGGTTATGGATAGTAATCAAACAACAAGAAGTATAAAACAAAGGGGGCGCATTCCTGAATTTAACTGAAACCCTGTGCCAAGGACTGACACAAAGTCAGGAATGTGCCCTGAAAAAAAAACAAGCAAACGCCTAATGAGGGAGTATGGCGACGCTACGGTATTCGTAAAACCTACACTGCTAGTGCTCCTTTTACAGCGAGATGCTGGGTGTACACTGCTCGTTGTACTTCTTAGCGGAAAACGGGTCCAGCTGCATCGTGCATTCCACATGCACCATAACGCGTGGCGACGAGATGCCCCAGTATTTCACGCGCGCTGCAGTGCCAACCACCACCCGCATTTCCGCGCGCCCATGCAGCAGCGGCGTCGTCAGCAGGCTCGCGGGACTCAGCGTCGCCAGGGGCGCGTCGACAATATCAAGGGGGACAGTCAACTCCGCGCTCCCACCCTTGCTCATTCCCAAAACACATGGGACGGTCACGTTTGTAACACTCATGTCGAAGAATTTTACGTCGATGCTGATGTTTTCCGCTTCCACGTCCCAGTTGTTAGGGTTATACACGAGCGCGGTGACGTTTATTAACGCGGATAGGCCTAGGCGGAAATTTTCGAGGCCCAGGAACCCGCCGCCGGATTTTGTGATGCCGACGCGGAGGATGTTGATTCGCTCGACCTTCACCTCCGGCTGTTGCTTCGAGACTGTCAGGTATGCGACGAGCCCTGCGACGCCTAATCCGACGATCAAGACGGCGAGGACGATGAGCGACCAGCATGCGACGCGGCAGCAGCAGGTCCGGCGAAGCCGCCTCTGGCGATCCTTCTCGTCCTTGCGAAGTTTTTCTACTTCATCTGCAGTGCTGGTTACTTCCTTAGGGTTGGCTATGCGCAAATCGGAAGGGTAAATTGCGGTGAACTCCCCCGAATTCTCCTCATCCGCGCTGCCACTTGCGCAAAATGCGTCCTTTGCAAGCGGAGGTGCGCAGCAGAAGAGGGGAAGCGACTTTCCATGCGGCGACGTTGAAACGGGGAGCGGGTCATCTGAAGCTAAGAAAGTGGCTTCTCCTGATTCAATGTCTCCGTCAGGTGCGACTTGTGGCGTCGACTTGGAAACCTCCGCAGAATTGTTCATTGCCATGCCTGAAGTCTGTATGGTGAGGAGAGCTGGTCACAGGTGAAGTTGATTTAGAGACGGTTCAGCGAGGTGCAAGGGAGTGAATAGTAATCAGTGTTGAAGGGAGTTGAGCAAATTGTGCAGCGGAGTTGGAAAGTCGGGTTGCTTCGAATTGGTCTGTTTGCAATGCGCTTGCCCTCACGTATTTATCGTGCAAATGGGGGCGACAAATGTCAAGCTCCGTGGCCCCCCACCCTGGCATTAAAAAACGAGTCGCGCCCAGGGTTATAGCGGTCCGCTGTCCGCGGTTTGGCGAGGAGCAGAAGCTTCGTCCTGGTCGGTGGTTGGGGATGCGGACAAACGAGCGAGACAAACCAGGCAGCACGGCTCGGTGAGCCTTTGGTAGCCCTGACCTAAACCGGGCCTAGTTTCCAGATTCCGTTCGTCAGGGTTCTTGTTGACCCAGACCATGAGATTCGTTACGAGGGAAACCAAGAGAAGCGAGCGACCGCAATGGAGCAAACAATTAATAACCAATACCTTAGCTGTTATGACTGTTCTTTAGGTGTTGAGCCTGTGTCAAGTCAATCAAACTCAAAAACTCCGTTTTAGAACTCTGTGCCATGCAACCCCAAGGTAATCCTGCACTTCAGCTCAAGTACCGTATGTCCACTCTACGAAGATGCATTAAGATCGTGCTTCTAACATAACAACTTAGTAGAGCTCTACATTACTCTTCAAGTGAGGGCCATCGTGCCGCACCGTCAGATGTCACGGGTTAAGCGAGTCAAGCATTGGTTACTGTCAAAAGGAGGACTTAGGTAGTGGCTTTAGGAGCCATGGCAAGGATGGAGAGGAAGGGTGTCGAGAGGGTTAAGTGCAAGGAGTACGGGGGTTTCACTATAGAGTCAAGGGTACAAATAGGGGAGGAAAGGGGGTAAACCACCAAACAGGAAAATGTGATAACTAAACTACTGCTATATCTACATGCAGTTATAATAATGTTCTAACATCCCCCCGTAACTGTTAAAATGGTTCTAGAACCTAGGAGGCATGGAAACCTTAGGTGCTAGGAAGGGGGTTGACGAGATGTCGAGAGGAGAAAGTTGGCCAACAAAAGAGGTTGTTCACTATAGAGTGAGCAGTACAAATAGGCAAGAATGAAGAAAGGTGCACCACCAAACACAAAGTTATATGACTACAGTATTCTACACTACAGGCAGTTATAGAACAATATATAGAATTATATATTATTCTGACAGTAACTGCATGCAGGAATAGCAAAGTGCAAATCACAACCTGCAGGTGTATTCAAAGCAACAGCACGCAAGAGTAATGACAACCAGTGCAGTAGTGGCAGAGACAGCTGCAGTAAGCGTTGAGGCAAGAAAGAAACAAAGAGAAGGTGCATGTGGCGCAGGTATCCTGGAGAGCAGGTGCGTGCGGCTAGAAAGGGTGGCGGCAACGCAGGGCTCAACGGCAACGCCTGCAGCTCAACAGCAAAGAAAGACGAACGAAGAGAGAGTGGCGTCAGGGGCTGCAGAAGTAGGTGCCACAGTAGCAGTGGCGGTTGCTGGGGGTTCACACCCGCCACCCCTCATCTCCCCCCGTAACCTCTCTCCCCCCCCCCCCCCCCCCCAGCAACGACTGCTGCAGGGAGAGAGGAAGAGGGAGGGGAGGGACGGGCTGCAGGATGCTCACACCCGCCACCCCCACGTCTCCCTCCCCCCCCCCTCCACAGTAGAAGCCGCGGAAGGGAAGGGAAGGGGCGGGGTACGGAGCTGCTGATGCTGGCGGAGGCGCTGGTGCCCGCAGTTGACGCAGGCGCTGGCGCTGGCGCTCGTCGCCAGTGTCTGCGGCGGGCGCTGGTCGTTGGTAGCGGGCGCCTGCAGCGACGCTCGTCGCTAGCGTCCGCGTAGGCGCTGGCGAGGCGACCGTGGGCGGCGGGTTGCAAGCACACAGGGCGCAACGAGCACTCAGGCGCAGGGCGCAGGGCGCGGGGAGGCGCGGGCGCAGGGCACGGGGAGGCAAGGGGCGCAGGGCGCAGGGCACGGGGAGGCGCGGGTGCAGGGCGCAGGGCGTAGGGAGGCGACGGTGGGCGGCGGGTCGCCGAAATGGGGGCCGCGGGGCGACGAAACGGGGGGCCGCGGGGCGACGAAACGGGGGGCTGCGGGGCGACGAAACGGAAGGGCGCCACGGGGCGATTCAGGGGACCCGCGGGGCGCATGACAGGCTGCGCGACGGGTGGGCCCATGATCCTTGAAAATATTGGAAGGTTCCAGGAAGGAACCCGCTCTGATACCATGTCAAAAGGAGGACTTAGGTAGTGGCTTTAGGAGCCATGGCAAGGATGGAGAGGAAGGGTGTCGAGAGGGTTAAGTGCAAGGAGAAGGGGGGTTTCACTATAGAGTCAAGGGTACAAATAGGGGAGGAAAGGGGGTAAACCATCAAACAGAAAAATGTGATAACTACACTACCTGACAGAGAGAGGAGAGATTGAAGTTTCTACAGAGATGTCCTTGACAGGACTGACAGAAGCTGTGAAATCTGAAGGCCAGCTTTTGACATTGCCCTGCATGGAGGCCTTCCCTGTGTCAAATCCCGCATTACCACACTTGCATGCGGCAGTGCCAATGCCAATGGTATTTACACTTCTGCAACCGTATCTTGAAATGAGCCTGCGGCGTTGAGCCTTCAGAGGTGCACCTGGACACCAATCTGGCAAAGGAATCTGGTGCTGAATTCCACATGGTGTTGAAAATTCAGCTGAATTTCCAATCAGAGACCCCGATGTGATGTCTGGGAAAAGAGGTGTAGAAACACCGCTTGGTAGTCTCGAAGGGGAAAAATGCTCTGCTAGATCTACATGCAGTTATAATAATGTTCTGACAGTTACGTGAATGTCACATGTCAAGTGCCGCCTGCGCTCGATCAAAGAGAGTGGCGAACGACCACAGGGATGCGAACAGTGCCTGCACAGCACAGGAGAACACCACATGGCGAATGTCAAACAAAACTTCAATGTGCGGATGTCAAGGAAAGAGCGTAAAGAAACATATCATGTGTTGAAGGTTGGTGAACATTCAACGAGGGAGGGGGCTTACATCTGAAGTTGAGGGTTGGGGTTTTGACTCTCCAAGATAGCATGCCAGCTGTCGAAGCGTTGACCTGGTGAGAGAAAAGGCAAGACATTAAGAAACACAAAAGACATGCACCAACCTCACAAGACTTCAACGCATGGATATAACGAAAATGGATTTATATATGCTTACTGATGACAACAATTTATACAGTGAATACTACACTCCCAACATCCCACCCAACTTGTACAGTAGCGGCTCGTGCTCACCTGCACTCTTCAGCATCATTGGCCAGTTCCTCCCTCTCCTTCCTTGCATTCAATCTGAACTCTGCTAGCACCGCCAGCAGCCCGCCCTGCCTTACCCCCTTCCCCTTCCGCTGCCTCTCCGCCCCACCCTCGCTATCAAGTCCCCCCCCCTGTCCATCCTCCTGTCGCTCCTCCCTTTCCTCAACTTGTTGCTTCTCCGCCTCCTCCCCCTCCTGCAGCCTCGCCTCTTCTGTCTCCTGCTGCAGAAGCCGCACCTCCTCATCCACCAATCGCAGGCCAGTGTCGAGTGCTGACGTGGCATCCGCCACGTCAGCTTGGGACATCCTAACCGCCTCACCAACTGCTCCCAGCTCCACTGTAAGCTTCCCTCTTCCCCGTGCTCCCTCCTCTCCTCCCTTGTTTCTGACTGAACTGCCCATAAGGCTGCTCCCTACTTCCCCTGCTTCCTCCTCTCCCTCATTTGGTCTGGTTGAGTCGCCGCCCCTCGTTATAATCACCACCACGTCGAGGAGAGTTGTTGCACGGGCGATCAGGAGCGGAGGATGGGAGGGGTGGGGCTGGTGGGACGGGAATGGGGAAGCTGCGGGAGTGCTGGCGGCGAGGGTTGAGGATGTGGGGAACGGGGAGGAGGGACGAGCGGAGGAGGAGGAAGAGGAGGAAAACGGGGAAGGGGAGGGGGAGGACGAGGACGAGGAGGAGGAGGTGGATGAGGGGGCATTGGCACGAGTGACAGGGAAGGACTGTGTGCGCGAGAATCGAGAGCCGGGAGGCAGAACCTGGGAGGAGTTTGACTGTTGAGTCAACTCAGAAGCGACCTGGGAGGCGGCGAACAGTGTGTCGAGGCCCTTGGCGCGGTGGGAGGGGGGAGTGACTCGCACTTCTGACAGGCGAGCGAGGGAATCCAGAGAGAACCCGCGGGCTGAACCTGGAATGTAGAGGGTAAGGAGGTGGGGGAGAGAAGGGTGGGAAGGTGGTTGGAGAGTGACGCATGTGAAGGTTTTTATAAGAGGAGCTTATGAGTGCTGGTTTTGGTTGCACCGGTTCTGCTACTTTCCTTTTCCCTGCCTGCCATTCGCACCCCTTGCCATTTACCCCCAATGCTTCCCGTACTAGACCTATGGTCCCATCCCACCCCTCTCAAGCCCTTCCCAACCCTCTCGACACTGTCTCACCCCTCTCAACCGCAACTCACCCCTTGCGCTGCCTCGATTGAGCTCGTTCCCCACTTCCAGCGCCGCTGCCAGTGCTGCCCGGAGAACCTTGCTGCTGCGGATCGCTCGGGCAGCAGAACAGAAAACTTTTATGACTGCCCGAGCATCGTTGACAATGGTGTGGAAATGTCGCACAAACATAAGCGCCTCGATTTTCCTCCTCATTCTAGGGATCAAGGATATGGACCAGAGGAAACGCTCAGGTGCACACATGGCACCTGAAGCAGCACCAGAGACTGCTCTAAACTTCGCCGCCTCCTCCTCTGTTGGAATCACCTGAAGCAGCAGGCCCAGGCGGTCAGGTGGCAGCACGTGCTTGGGATCTCCTGCGAGGATCAAATCCCGGATTCGATTCTCAGGCATGCGGAATTGAGTGAGCATGATGGCTACGTTGTTAGCGCGAGCCAAACCAACCACTTGTAACTCATCCTTCCCTAATCCCTTCCTCCCCCCTGACCCTCCCCCTTCCCCTTGCACTCCTCTTGCCTTCGACTTCCCCCCTGGCTTTGTTGGTTTCACCTGGAAAAGCACCCGGATGGCTCGTCTCATGTCATCTGGTAGTGTCACCTTCGATACAAGAACACTACTGCTACTTCCTTTGCTTTCCCCATCCCCTACTGTCTCTTCTCTCTCCTTTTTACCTGCACCCTCTCTCTCTATCTCCTCCCATACTGTCCCCTTCACATTAGTCACTTTGGACCAGTGTAAAGGGCGGGCTGGGGGGAAAAGGTCCCCTTCCCCGTCCGCCCTTTCCCCCTCCCCTTCCCCCTGCTGTCCCCCCATCCCAGGCGCAGCCAGTTTGCCTGAGGCTAGGCGGATAGGGGGAGGGGTAGGGGGGGGACGGCCGGAGGGTGGGGGAGGGGGAGGCGGAGGGGCGATTGGGGGACGAGGGGGGACTTGGGTAGGTTGAATGGGTGTGGTTTTGAGGGGGAGTGAGGGACGAGGAGGATGTGTCTCTGCTGCTGCTCCTGCTGCTGCTCTAGATGGTGATGATGGTAATGTTGCTGATTCTGCTGCTGCTGATGCCGCTGCTGCTGCTGCTGTTGTTGAGGGTGATAATGAGAACGGTTCAGGTGGAGAAGCAATTGGTTCTGTTCCTCTTGTCATGTGGCCAGCAGGACGAGTGGCACTTGCTCTCAAGCGATCCCCTTTTGCTTCACCCGCCCCTGCTCTCCACTCTCCTCCTGCGTCCCTCACCTCCCTCACTACCCCCACATCCTCACTTCCCATGCCCTTGCCTTCCCACTTTCCCCCCATCGCATCCCCACTACCCATGCCCTCCCAATCCCCTCCCATACCTTCCGTCCCCTCCCCACCTATAGCGCTCACATCGACTCCCCAATTCCCCATGCTCTGCCTCTCTTCCCCCATCCCCTCCGCACCCCCCATGCTCCCCTCCCCCCTCATCCCCCCCGCAAACCCCATTGTCCCCTTCCCCCCCAAACTCCCTTCCTGCCCCATCCTTTCTGCACCCCCCACCATGCTCCCCTCACCCACGGCTCTCCCCTTCACACTCCCACCCCCAATGCTGTGCCTCTCCCCCCCTTGCTCAAAGCTCACACCCTTGCTGTGCATGTCAACCCCCTTCAATCCCCCACCCCCCATGCCATGCCGTTCGCCCCCTTTTAATCCCGCACCCCTCATGCCATGCAGTTCGCCCCCTTTTAATCCCCCACCCCCCATGCCATGCCGTTCACCCCCCTTCAACCCCCCACCGCCCATGCTATGGCGCGAGCCTGTAGACAGAGACATGCGAATGAGGAGATCTGCTAGAGAGTCAAGCTCCTGTGACGGCTGGCTTGCGGAGGAGAGAGGAGCAGCAGAGGAGGAATGGGAGAGGCTGAAATCTTCGGAAAGGGATGCAAGTTGGGGGAGGGGTGAGTGGGGAAGGGGCGAGTGGGGGGAGGGCGGCATGTGAGGCGTTGTGGGAGTGGGAGGGAGGCTGTATCGAGAAAACGGCACTTCGGGCGGCATGAACGCCGTTCCGGGCGGCATGGGCGGCACAGACAGCATGTCTGGGTGGCTTGGCTGTCCTGTGTGGCGCAAGAGAGGGTGTGCTTGCACCTCTGTCACCAAGCTGCGAGCCAGGCTCCTCCTCTCATCCCCCTCTCCACCCCTCCAGTCCCTCTGTTGCTCTTGCAACGGAGCCGACCTGCCCCTCCCGTCTACTGCTTCCGTGGCGAGAGCGCTTTGAGAAAACGCCGGCTTGAAACGCTCCTGCTGATCCGATGGAAACGTCCTGCTACCTCTCCCATTCAACCCTTCCTCTCCCTCTCGCTCACTCCTCTCTCCCTCTCGCTCACTCCTCTCTCCCTCTCGCTCACTCCTCTCTCCCTCTGCTCTCCCCAGCCTCGTCTCTCCCCTTCCTTGAGCCATCCGCTGCTTCCTAGAAGCTTCCACAAAGTCGTCCCGGTACGCCGCCAGCAGCTGCTGCCACGTCAGCATCATGCCAGCTGGCGCGCCGTCGGGGTTGGCGGCGTCGGCCAATGGCGTGCCGCCACGTGGCTGCGGCATATCTATAAGCACGTCGATGAAGAAATCCGCAGGCACTTGGATGTCCCCCCCGTATGCACAGTCAAGCTGGTTCGGGGAAAGGAGGAGGAGGGGGAGAAGGGAAAGAGAAGGCAGGGTCTGCTTGCTAGGGTCTGCTTGCTAGGGTCTGCAGTTACTTGAATGTCTCCCCCGTAGGCACAGTCGAGTTGACGAGCGAGGGAGGGGAAAGGGAAGGGGGTGTGCAGGGGGGGAAGAAGGGAGAGGGGGACGTGGTATCTCTATGAGTACACCAATGAAGAAAAACCGAAGGCACTTGGATGTCTCCCCTGTAGGCACAGTCGAGGTGGTGGGGTGGTAGAAAAGGGGGTGAACGGAGGGGAGAAAACGTGCAGCAGTAGAGGAGGAGCTGGGTAGTTGGGTACTAAGAGGGGAAATCGGCGGGTACTTGCCTCCCCTCCCATATGCGCAGTCGAGCAGATCGGGTGGTGGGAAAAAAGGAGAAGGGTGGAGGGGATAGTGATGGGAAGAGGAGGGTGTGTGTACGAACCTAACTAGAATACTACAAGGGAGAAGGGTGGAGGTGAATCCACGCCTTACCTTACCTCATGTAGGGCTATTCACGTGTTAATCCGTAAAAGGTTATTCAGGTGAGACCGGTGCTTAGGGCGGTACAGGGGAAGGCGTTACCTCGTGAAGGGTTATTCGGGTGAGGCCGATGCATAGGAACGCCGAGTGGAAGGCGAAGACAAACACAGGCTCGCTCTCGTCCCTGCTGCTGTTGCCTGGCGGGTAGTACGGGGTGAGGCGATGGGGGTTGAGAGAGAAAAAGCCTGGGTTATGTTGAGTCAACTCAGAAAGACCAAGACAAACACAGGCTCGCTCTCGTCCCTGCTGCTGGTGCCTGGCGGGTAGGGAGATGCGGAATGGAGAGTGCGAATGAACAAATATTGAGATGAATCAAATGGCAACGACAAGCACGAGATCGCACTCTTTCTCTCTGCTGCTGGTACTTGGGAGGTACAGAGATGAGCTGTCTAACTGAGCGATTTTTAAAATTTCACAGAAATTGCTCACGAGGTACGGCGTTGCGGCGTCTATTTTTGAGATGCCTCAAAAATTGGCTGCTGGTGGTTCTTGGGAGGTACAGAGATGAGGCGTGAGGGGTAGAGAGTGAAAGTGTGAGGGGGTTCTGACAAAGGGTATGGGACAGAGAATTCAATACGTCGTATGGAGGAGTGCCCTTTGCACACAGTCATCCTGCCTAGACGCAAATTCGACCTACCTATGCAAATTCGACCTACCTAGATTCCGTCTTGTTGCGCATACCAACGTCACAGTGCCGAACCTTTTTCTCGAGATATTATCTGTCCATATGCGCATTGGCTAGATGCTACCTGTCCAGATGCTACCTGTGCAGATGCTACCTGTCCAGACGCTACCTGTCCAGATGCTACCTGTCCAGATGCTACCTGTCCAGATGCTACCTGTCCAAATGCTACCTGTCCAGGTGCAACCTGCCCATATTTCACCTGTCCAGTGATGCACGGCGAAGGCACAGTCGCCCCACACAGGGGAGTTAACCTCGAAGGGGACCATCCAGGCTGACCCCGTGGGGAAGGAGGGCGGCACCTGGCGATACGCAGGTGGGGAAGGGGGGGAGGCACAGTCAGTCGCCCTACACAGGGGAGTTAACCTCGAAGGGGACCATCCAGGCTGATGATCCCGTGAGGAAGGAAGAAATCAGGGGAAGAGCAAGTGGGGCTATAAAGGAGAGATGGAGGGGAGCGGAGGAGAGGAGATGAGAGGAAGGATGGCAAAGACAGAATTGCTCCCCCATCTACCCCCCTTAACGACCATCTGCCCCCTCTGCCCCCTCTTACCGCCTCTTCCCTCCTCTTCGTCCACACCTCACCTCCCCCATTCCTCACTCCCCCCAGCCTCACTCCCCCCAGCCTCACCTCCCCAGGCAAGACACTGCTGCTCACTTCTGCTCCCCTCCGAAACACCTGCCCACAGCCAAGGGTAACCCCAGAAAATGATTAGCAGCACACAGCATAGCAGCATACATACATCATGGGCTGAGAACGGGTGATGCATGCATGTGAACAGGCGATCAATGCATGTGAACGGGTGATGCATTTATGTGGACGGGCGATCAATGCATGTGGACGGGTGATGCATGCATGTGAACGGGCGATCAAGTGGACGGGCGACGCATGTGTGAATGGGCGACGCATGTGTGAATGGGCGACGCATGTGTGAATGGGCGACGCATGTGTGAATGGGCGACGCATGTGTGAATAGGCGATGCATGCATATGAACAACTTGCTTGACAGGCTGCACAGCACACACCCTCCCCATCACTACACTCTCTCACTGCTGTTGACCACCAGAGAGAGTACCGCTGCCGCCGACCCACCTTAAGATATGGACGAAAAACGCCGGCCCCATCAATGGATGGGCATGCGCTGAGAATGAGCTTGCGAAGAATTGGGGCGGCGGGCGGCAGAGAGGCGAGTGATGGCTGACAGGGGGAGGGGAAAGGGCGAGAGAGGGGGGAGTGGGGTGGGAAGGGTAGAGTGATTGTTGAGAGGGCTGAGCAGGAGAAAACAGGGTGGGGAGAGACAAAGGGGGATGACGAGGAGAAAATTATGAGGGGTGAAAGGGAGGACGAGGGTTGGGAGGGGGGAATGGGCGGGGGCAGGAGAGGTTGGGGGGTAAGGGGAGGCAACTGCATTGCAGGAACGAAGCTTGGTCATGCTGCCCCAATGTTGGTCAGCACAACACCCTGAGCACCCAGAAATACATCCATAGCACCGCACAGCACCCACCTCGTCCCCCCATCCAGCCTTCACAAACTCATCCACATAGGTGCAGTAGCGCTGCTGCCCCGTGCTGCCTTTCCAGGGCAAGTGCGGCACCCACACCCGCCCATACACACACAGCCACACAGCACCGCACTGAACCGAACAGCACCCACCTCATCCCCTCGCCCTGCCTTCACAAACTCGTCCACGTAGGTGCAGTAGCGCTGCTGCCCCATGCTGCCCGTCTGCCCTCCCCCCACCACCTCCCCCCACTCCTCCCTCTGCTGCCCCAGCGCCCCATTCCCCCCAAGCTCCCCCTGTCCCCCATGCTCCCCCTTCCCCTCCCCCAGCTCTTCGGGGGGGAGGGGGTGCCACGTGGCGAGTTCTGGTTGGCCGAGGGGTTGGGGGAGAGAAACAAGGGCCTGCCACGCACTGGGAAACTCTGCGCTGATTGGGGGAGGATTAAGGGGGGGGATTGGAGAGAAGGGGGGGGAGGGGAAGTTGGGAGAGGGGGAGGGGGAGGGGGAAGGGGAGGGGGATTGGGACAGGGAGGGTGGGAGGATGAGGAGGAGAGGAAAGCAAGGTCCTTCCACGCACTCGAAACTCTGCGTCTTTTGAGGCGCCTCAAAACTGGAAACTCTGCGCTGATTGGGGGGATTGGGGGGGAGAGTGGGGGAAGGGATAACGAATTGGGGAGGGGGACGAGGGAGGACGGAGGAGGATGGGAGAGGACGGAGGAGGATGGGGGAGGATAGGGGAGGATGGAGGAGGATGGGGGAGGATGGAGGAGAATGGGGGAGGATGGGGGAGGATGGGGGAGGAGAAGAGGAGGGAAAAAGACAAGGATGGGGGAAGATAAGAGACGGCAGCTGTGGAGGGGAAAGGGGAAGAGGGGGACGATGGGGGGTCGTGGGTGGTTGGGGTGGGGGAGGGAGAAGGGAACAGGGTACTTGGAAGCATTGTCAGGAGTATCAGCATTGCAAGAGGGGGATGAGCGGAGCGAGGAGCGAGGAGCGAGGGGAGAGAGGAGCGTGTAGGGAGGATACAACAACGGATTGGAGAGGGGGAGAGAGTAAGGTGAGGCGAGGGCATGTGTGAGTGAGGCAGCACCTCGTTACAGTGTCACACACCGTTACAGTGTCACACCTCGTTACAGTGTCACGCAGTACTGGTGAGAAGGACGAGAGTACCTGTGGGAGAGGTAGCACGCAGCAATGAAGCGGAGGAAGCATGCTCCCCCCGCGTTGCTGGGGCTGCGTGTGTGCAGCACTGCCACATGGTCGTCGTCTGCTGCGAGCCTGGGAGGGGGATTGAGAGACAAGAGGACCAAAAGCAGACAAAGGCAGATTGAGGCTGTTGGGGCTGCGCACGTGTGCAGCACTGCCACGTGGTCGTCGTCTGCTGAGAGCCTGGGAAGGGGAGGGGAGGAGAGAGAGTGGGAGTGGAAGGAAGAGGGAAGAAAAAGAGAGATTGACAGAGTTGACTTCCCTGTTGGTCGTCATCTGCTCGGTGACTTTTGAATCAGACTCAAAAGTCACTTCAAACCTTTGTCACGCACCTCATCAGCTGTCTCGGGTTCCGGCGCAAGCAAATATACATACATACATACATACATACATACATACATACATACATACATACATACATACATACATACATACATATATATATATATAACACTCATATATATATATATAACACTCGATGAATGTGCATGGTATTTACCATGTGTGCATGGTGGAGCAGGCTCGAAAGACGATGTCGAGAGGACACACCATGGGCCCTCGAGGCCAGTCCCACGGCGCTCCCAGCTGCACACACGGGGAAGGCAGGGGTAGTGACTGCTTTGAGGGAGTGGTGCGCAGTGCGAGACGCTTTTGTAAGCAAAATCTTAGAATATCCCAGGAGACAATCTAAAAAGAGCAATCCCAAGGGGACAATCCCAAGGCCCAATCCCAAGGGGGCAATCCCAAGGGGGCAATCCCAAGGGGACATCCCACAGGTACTTGGAGAAAGAGCGCGTAGGGGTCAGCATCAGGTAGGGGGAGCGCTCTCCCCACCTCTCACCACCCCTCCCACCTCTCACACCCATTACCACCCTTCACTACCGCGCATTACCCATCACAACCGCTCACCACCCATTACCACCTCTCATCATCCCTCACCACCGCTCACCACCGCCCATTACCTCGCACACATTCTTGTTGAAGAGCGAGTAGAGCTCGGCATCAGGAAGGGGCGGGCCAGAGTTAAGCAACAGTACATCAGCTGAATAGTTGTGCGCGAATATGCGCGCTGCCTCCGTCATTACCCCAATGTACCTGTTTGAACGGGTGGTGAGGGGTGTGAGGAGTTAAGCAACAGTACGTCAGCAGAGTAGTTGTGAGCGAATATGCGCGCTGCCTCCGTCATCACCCCGATGTACCTGTTTGAACAAGAGAGGATGAATGGGTGGTGAAGGGTGGTAGGAGGTGGTGAGGTGTGATGAGGGGTTGGGGGTAGTGAGGAGTTGAGCAGCAGTACGTCAGCTGAACAGTTGTGAGCGAATATGCGCGCTGCCTCTGTCAACACCCCGATGTACCTATGGTTGGGAGAGAGGGGGGTGGTGGGGTGGGTGCGACAAGGCATGGATTTGGTGGGGATGATGAGGGGTGATGAGTGGTGGGGAGTGGTGAAAACTTCAGCAGCAGCACATTGGCACAGTAGTTGTGGTCAATGGAGATTATTGGGATGATGACGAATGTGTGTGCTGACTCTGTCATCACCCTGATACACCTTCGTAGAGGGGAAAGGGGGAAGGGAAGAGCGAGGAGTGCTGAGTGGTGGAGAAGGCAGAAATAAACGAGTGCGGAGAAAACTAGACAAGTCTGGACAGCTGAGCATTGATCATAGCGTTGCTTCCATCAATGATGTGCATCGAACATTCATGAGTGCTTCCATGGGAGCTTCCACCCATCAATGATGGCTCGATCGGTTACCCCATGGGAGCAAGGGTTTGGAAAAAGAGGAGGCTCGTTTAGACTGGCTTTGAGACGTCTCTGGTTCCAAGATCGTTTGGATTTGAGTCGTCCTAAACCAAAGGGAATGTGGGTCGTCGAGGGAACGGAACGCCACGGATACCCTTTCCGCGACGGGCCTGGCGGATTCCTTTTCGCGAGGAACAATGAGCCACACATGTGCGAGTCAGAGCTGAATGGTCGAAGCAGAGCAGTCGAACCGAACAAAAGAGGAGAGATTCAGGGGGATTCGCGGACCTGTGGTTGTCTATAGCGGGGGTGAGGTGTAGCGGGTCGTTTTCGTAACACAGTAACATGAGGCGATCGTGAATGTACTGCGGCACGCCGTCCTCGCGAGCTCTGCCGTGGCGCCATCGCTTTCGCCCGCCGTGGAGCACCACGCCTTCCTCCCACATGGCTGCGGGTAATGCTGCTAACCAAGAAGAGTGATTGGGCTGCCTATCAAAATACACGACTATAAAATTCTTACAGCTACGTTTACATAGCTCTCGTAGCTCAGTTGGTTAGAGCGTATGGCTGTTAACCATAAGGTCGGTGGTTCAAGCCCACCTGGGAGCGCTTTTGTCATGCAGCCATCTTCACCCATTTTGACCTAGCCTGTGGCCTTCTCCAGGTCACAGTTTTACGTGTTGGACTATGTTACTAGCTAGCTAGAATAGTGCAATTGAGTGAGCTAGCTAGAATTGCACTATTGAAGGAAAAGTATAATGAGTGAAGAATATATAGCGAAACTACGGTGGTAACGGTAATCTGGTAAAAATGGGGTGCGCGACGTGTACTCTTTTCCTTACAGGGGTTTACTCAACCGCATACAACCCCAACTTTCGGAAGTGCACGTTCGGCCACTTTGCTTGCTGCCGAAGCAACCCCGCGTCGCCTTCGGCCTTTCCTTTGCCCAACCTGCACCCAACCTTGTGTTCCCGAGGTTCCCGCCTAGCTAGGTTGACCCACTATATTAGCGCGTGCCTTCATTGTATTGTCAGTTCATTGAGTCACGTCTTCGTTATTCGTTATTCCGCGCACTCTCTTTTACAACTCATAACACCTGGTATCAGAGCTACTTTCCTAGTTCACCCCGCTTTTCGAGGGTAGTTTAGTGGCACTGGTGTGGTCGGTTTAGTGGACTACACGACGGTTGGCTGCAAGGTTTGTTAATTCAATCCTGCCCGACTCTGATAGTTGGTGTTTTTCACTCACCGGAAGGACACGGATATCCCTCTGCCCACCAGACGAAGCGTGCGACTCATGGACCAAGAGACATTGAACAAGATGCTGGCGCAAATGGCAGAGCTACAGGCAACAGTGCAGACTCTATCAGCAGAAGTGACAACACTACGATGAGAAAACGCCGAGCTACACCAGACGCGAGGTGAAGCGCGTCAGGAGTCGCCCGATGATGAAGGCGAGGGCAACAGTCAAGCGGTGAGCAACCCGTTGGACGCGCTCACACGTGATTTCGAATAAGAGGATAGGCAGCGAGCGGCAGCGACGCCAATTGCAGTAACGACGATCAAGATTAAACCCGTCTGTCAGAATCCCAACCACTAGACCATTGGGATAAAAGGGCTTGTTAAGTAGCGGGTCAGTGCGCCCATAACCCCCCAGGCCAACATGCCTGTAACCCTTCCCTAGGATCAATCGGGGATCACCAGTGGACTTCTAACACCCCCCCGCACTGGGATGCCCGAAGTGCAAACACTGGGATTCGAACCCGAGATCTTCGCTCTGATACCATGTCAAAATCCCAACCACTAGACCATTGGGATAAAAGGGCTTGTTAAGTAGCGGGTCAGTGCGCCCATAACCCCCCAGGCCAACATGCATGTAACCCTTCCCTAGGATCAATCGGGGATCACCAGTGGACTTCTGACACCGTCAACCCGCCCCAGTTCAATCCTACGGACAAGACTACTACAGTGAAGGGGTGGCTTTTCGGCGTTGAAGTCTTCTTCACTGCAGCAGGCGTGAACGACGACGCCACGTGTATTAATTACGCAGTCTCTCTTCTTCGAGGCGCAGCGCTTGAGTGGTGGCGCCGAACCTTGGACACGGGGACCCCGACAGGTGTGACACATGCGGCAGACGGGACTTTCAACGACCGTTAATCAAGTGGCATCACCGATATTCGGCGTGACCAAAATATGCACGTGGAAGGAGTGGGGCGCAGCCTTACGAGATCGCTTTGAGCAAATATCCGGCTCGGAGCAAGCTCGCATGAAGCTGCGTACCTGGTCGCAGTTGGCATCTGTCCAAGACTACACAGCGACGTTCATGGCCCTCGCCGACCAAGTGGACGATATGTCGGAGGCGGAACGGTTGGATAAGTACGTCAGCGGCCTTAAATATGAGATACAGTACGAGGTGCGCCGATGCCGCCCGACATCGTTCCTGGAAGCAGCACGGTTGGCAGAATCCATGGACACGCTGATGCAGTACGCGAGGTCGAGTTTCCGGGAGGGAAATCGTTTTCGCGGCCAGACCCAACGGGCCACGATCAATGGAGTCCATGCACCAGACCGCCCCTGCACAGGGTTGTGTTATAAGTGCGGGAAGCCGGGTCACAAATATGCAGACTGCCCCGAGAAAACGCCGGCGAAGAGGAACGACGAGAAAGAGCCGAGAAATGGGAAGAGTCAGTAACAGACGGGCCCCTTACTGACTGTGCTCTGTCGCCCGAACACCATCATCCCCACCGAGTCGTGGTTCCGATTCATGCAATCGATCGCACTCGGCCGAATAACGGGGATAACCATGTGGATCACCCTATGCTGGTCGTTGGCAAAGTGTTAAAAAATTACTTGAAAATGTTCGTCGACGGAGGGGCCAGCCATAGCCTCTTCAACTTGGCGACAGCAAAAAAATGCAAGCTGCAACTTGACAGGTGTCTGCCCGAAATCGACGCTCGCCTCGTGGATGGGACGCCTCTGGCGATTTTGGAAGAAACACGGACGGTGCGGATCGAATGCGGCGACGATTTCGGCTTCATCATGAAGTTTCTCGCGATGACGCTGGATGGCTGCGACGTGCTGCTGGGACGTGATTAGCTGCGACGGCACAACCCTGTTATCGACTAAACAACGGGATCGTGCAGCATCAGCAAGCACGTGGGGCTTATTAAGCTTCCTGCATGGACACCTGACTACATCCAAGCCCCGTGCGTCAAAGCTATCACTATTGCTCACCACTTCAATCGAGGCGCGTAGCTGTTCGACGTATGTTTGCACGAGTTGGCGATCGACATCGACGGAAAGGACATCGAGAAGCTGTGCGCAGCTGTACCATCTGATTTAGCGGAGCTGATTCGAAAGTACCCGGATATCTTCCCCGACGATTTGCCACCTGGACTGCCACCGGAACGCCCCGAGGACCACAAAATCCAGCTGGAGCCTGGCGCGCAACCGACTGTTCGTACACAGTGGCGGTTGACCCAACCGCGAAGAGCTGCAACGACAAATTGAGGGACTTTTGGAGAAGGGGTTTATTCGAACCAGTACATCTCCCTTCGCAGCCCCGATCCTGTTCACGCCGAAAAAGGATGGCGGGCTTCGCATGTGTATCGACTATCGTGCGCTCAACCGGGTGACCATCAAATCTCGCTATCCAATCCCACGTACCGACGACCTCCTCGATCAACTTCGCGGCGCTCGCTATTTCTCGAAAATCGCCTTGCGTGGCGGTTACCACTAGATTCGGGTCTTCGCCGACGATTGTCACAAGACCGCGTTTCGCACCCGCTACGGAAGCTACGAGTTCACCGTGATGTCGTTCGGCCTCACAAACGCGCCTTCGACATTTCAACTGACCATGAACATGTTGAAATCCTAGGCAAAATCGAGAAACAGAGAAAGGGGGGATTTTCACTAGCATGCAGTTGAGTACATATAGCAAACCCTAATCCGGGTTGTACTCGCTATAGAGTACCCCACTGCAGGCTACACAAACATCACATTCTGACACACCCCCATAGTCAAATTGGGGTACAATCAACACAACAAGCAGGCAAAGCAGTAGTTTACAAGTATAAGCAAAGCTAGAGGCAGTCACAGAGGGCAAGTGAGGAGGAGGAGAAACTGTGAGGGCGAGAAGATCGGAGGCGACGGCTGAAGCTGCAGACACACAGGCAGCAGGAGTGCGCAGCACTGTCGCTACCAGGCTAAACCCGGACTATACGGCGACAGGCGCAGCTGGCTCACTATGCTCCCAGGAGTGCACACACTGTGGCTACCAGGCACAGAGCCCCGGACTACTCAGGCCACAGGGGGTCGTGGCTCTCTGGACTACCAGGAGTTCTCACACTGTGGCTA